AGGACGGGCTAGCTCAGAGGTGAACATGGGTAGGTAACATTTCTATACCAGCCCAACACTGGGATTACATATGAACTTCCGACAGGACACTTTGAAATTCCCTCCATGGAGAAGCTGAATAAACAAATGCAGATCTCTCGACAGCCACACTTGTTTAGAAATGACAGAGTTGTTCTTGGCATAGAGTTATAGAACATTATAAGATATGTTTGAGAATCTCAAGTCTAGTAGCAGTTTTAGTTAAAATATTGAGATAGTTGAAATGTTTGGTTCAGTGGTAGTAGGATCATAAGTGGACGATGGTGTTTTAGCTTTGAGACTCGAAAGTACTAAATGGCAATGGAAGCGGACTCTAGCAGAGGGAGGGTGAAAAGGTGATGTAACAGCTTAAAAAAGAGATTTAAGAAAAAGGGAAGGAAGTGAATAGTGTAATGGTGACTATGTTTCCGGAACTCCTTCCTCCCCAACAAGTCTATCCTATACTTGGGAGGTATTTAGGTAAACTTTTAAGTACTTAATGAAAGGACAACACTACAACAAACTTAATCAACATTTCTTTTCAACCAAATTCTTTTATTTGAATATATCAATATTGAGCAAAAAAAAAAATTGTTTTGTAATTCAATGAATGAAATGGCGACAGATGGACTAATCACCAACAAATTCTATAACTATTGAGTATGATGGGTCACATTGTAGTAACTTAAGTTCAAGGACAATTCAAACTTGTACAATAAAATTCACTTTACATTAGACTAATGGTGCCATGGATACCCCTAGTTAACGCGTGCGGAAGACCGCCCTCCCGAGACAACAGTGCTGCCATCTACCCGGCCACCCCCTGCCTGGGCTGCGTGTTTGTTTTGTATATTTTGCGTGGCTGTATGGAGCACAAGATCAGATAAGGTACACTTTGCAGATGATTTCACTTGGACAATTGTTTGTAACAGAATCGTGGTCGGAGAGGATAGGCCATGTCACCATTCTCAAGAGGGCCAATTTATGAACCTATTCAAATTTCTATTCTTTATCTACAAGTATTAAATTCATACGAAGGGACTTCTGAAAAATAGTCCTTATCCATGGCCAATGTTACTGAACTCTTCAGCAAAATTACAGATTTAATTAGTGATCATTACTGTTTACCTGAAATAACTCCAGGGTGTTGATACTGTGTATATGTGTACACAATACTAGTAATAACAACACACGTGTGTCTCAGTGAAGTGAACGCAACATATTACCAATCTCATTGGGTCCGACGGTGCTCTATAGTTAAATAAAGCGGGACGCTTGTCTTGATCCACGCCGTTCCCCCTCCTACGTACCCATACTCATATTGAACATTTTCTGATAGCACGCCAAGAAATCATTATACTGTATATCCAATCTGCTTGTCTTATTAAATAGCACATTTACTTTTGTCTAGCTAGCTGCCTCATTATTGCCATTCTTCTGCTAACTTCCCTTTCTTAATGCGGTCCCGCGGCTTTACATTTCCGCCTGCCTATTTCGATCTTTATAGATTTTGCATTTACACACAATCGTGAATCGGTTTTAATCTGCGGAGGACACCGTTAAGCATAAGGAGCCCTGGAACAATCCTGGGGTAGCCACTCACGCAGAAAACATTCAGTCCAATACAATCAAATGAAGTAACTAGACCGCCGAAACCATTAATGTTTCTAGCTCGATCCATGGAAAAAAGCCATGCAAGGAAAAATATCACAAAAGACGGGGCCAATCACTGGAAAAATTAGCTTCTACATGGCTATTTATACTAAGCATTGTTGCTGGGCCTGGCTGCAAGGGCACATGTTATGTACGAAACAAAGTTACAACTTGTGAATGGTCGACCATTCTTCCTCAATAAGCTGGGAATGTCATCACATGAAAGGGAGGCTGTCTGTCCCACCAGCACCCGTGATTGTATCCATCGGCCACAAAGAAACTGTTCTTACAAACCAGAAAATTGACTTGAGCACAACCGTAATGGAACTCTCTAGACCTTAACAATGCCTTCCTCCCTCATTATCATGGTAATTTTCCGGAGAAAAAAAAGGACAACACATTTTCTGACACAACAACGCTGTTAACGTGTGTTAATACTATCTCTCTAGTTTTAACACTACTACCATCTGTATAAACACTCCAACGGTAATCAACTTCTCACACTGAAATCAATTTCATATACGATTTCAAGAAAAAATCAGATTATCTCATTTTCTTTTTATAATTACTTGAAGACATTCTTAAGAAAATTAGAAACAGGATGTTTTAGTACATTCTTAGATTTAAAGTAAGGAATTCATTAAAAAACTCAATTATTGTTTTGAAAAACATAACCAGATAGATGAAATATTTCATATTTTATTTTAAAATACCAACAGTTCAACTGAACTTTGAATTCAGATAAATAATCCTAATTTCAGAAACAAGAGAAAAATCCATGTGCATAAATCTGAAATATTATCAGAATGATTGCGTGAATGAATTAAAGTAAACGAAAGTATAATAATCTCTAACCCAAAATAATTATGGATGTAAAATATCGTCAACATGATAGAAGGAACAAATTGAAGTACATAAAAGTATAATATTCTCTAACCCAAAATAATCATGGACCTAAAATATCATCAGAATAATTGAAAGAATGAATAAAAGAATACGAAAAGTACAATAATCTCTAACCCAAAATAATTGTATGTCATTAGAAAGTGATAGTGGGGACATGATACCCAGACACGCCTGTACAGGTATAACCGAGAAGCAACAAGCAGCCACTAATTAATCATTGTTGGAATTTAAAGCTAACTGGCGGAATTTAAAGCCATTCTAGCTTCTGTGAAAAGCAGCATCTGTGTGACTCTGGCCTAATTGATGCTAGCCCTCCTTCCCCTTCACTGCCCTTGCACAGTAACATACAGTTTGTGGCATTCTGAACACTTCTAGTTTTTACATTATCAATTTACAAACTTCCTACTCCATCAAACGATATTAAATCACACTCATTGGCTACGCATTTCTCATCCCTGTGAACATGAAAGACATGTGGTGGAGAGGGAGCTTACACACTGCTCTAACCTTAGGATAAACTTATAGAGAGGGGTAGACTTGCCTGTATTTACTCTAAAGCACCTGTCAGAGCAGACCAGACTACGTGAAGAAAATAAATGTAAAAAACACCTCGTCTGGATATATATATAGGTAAAGTACATATTGGAAGTGTATGTACTTCCCCTCCCCCCAAACATGAACATTGCCATGATACAGGTGATGTTCTGTCAGTGTCGTCTGCCAGGCTAACAGGCTAACACTAACACCTGTTCCAAAACAAGATAGTTCTCAACCACAAAAACTTACCAATTCCAACATAAAATAGTCTTTCATTGGTCAAAAACATTTTAGTTCAGTTCTGCTGTTCAAAAGTATAATAGGATTTCATTATCAACACTAGTGTATATTTAGAATGACCAATGTCCAGTCTGAAAGTAAAGAAACATTGCAGACTTGAGCCCTTAAATGGCCTAATGGTTTCCAGTCAACAACATTGATCATATGGTCCAAGACAAAACAGAGACCTTAAGAATCTGTAACCATGGTAGCAATTTTGAGTTGAAGGGTTAGTATACAACTACCCAACCCCCTCCCTACTAATTTACCCAGTGTATGTCTACTCAGCAGACAGACTTACTTTTTACATATGATCTAGATTCCATCAGTTTTCCATTTCATTTGCTAAAAGCTGTTAGGAGTGTGGTGTAGAGTTTCAGGGGAGGGCTACGTCCAATGATAACTAGGGGGTTATTTCATTCCCTACTGGTGGGATCCAAACTCATTCTACCGCAAAAAACTCAAAATTGGCTCAGAAAATATTTCCTTCGGCACTTTTTCTAACTCTCTCCTCTAAGATTAAACATCTGTATCTTATTTGTCAAAATGAACAGAAAAAGTTACAAGAATTGACTGCCCTGTACTTAAAACAGCCATGGCGGTTAATGAGCGGATATCTTAGAGGGGGTCAGTGGTCGTTACCATGGTGATTTTGTACCCAAAATATAAGTAGGATTTATAAATGTTTAAAATGGATGTTGTAGGTTGTTTTGTACGTTGGTCATAATCTGTGTGTGTGTGTGTGGTACATGAATGTTGTGTTTTATTTATACTATCAGAACGTTTTTGTATGTTGTATGCCATCACTACTGCTGGGATACCTATTGTGTGCTGTTTTTGATTAATAAACATATCACCTCGTTTTCTGTCCTTAACTTCAGAAAGACATTCTATTTGGGATGAAACTGTTGTCTTAACAGGTATTGACGGACAAATTGTGTTAGACATGTCGTCGAGGTATGAGAAATTATTGTGATGTGATAGTTGTCTAAACAGGTATTTGATAGAAAAGTTGTGATGGATGTGTCTTTAGAGTATGAGATTTTGTTGTGATAAGATTGGTGTCTAAACAGGTATTTGATAGAAAAGTTGTGATGGATGTGTCTTTGGAGTATGAGATTTTGTTGTGATAAGATTGGTGTCTAAACAGGTATTTGATAGAAAAGTTGTGATGGATGTGTCTTTGGAGTATGAGATTTTGTTGTGGTAAGATTGGTGTCTAAACAGGTATTTGATAGAAAAGTTGTGATGGATGTGTCTTTGGAGTATGAGATTTTGTTGTGATAAGATTGGTGTCTAAACAGGTATTTGATAGAAAAGTTGTGATGGATGTGTCTTTGGAGTATGAGATTTTGTTGTGATAAGATTGGTGTCTAAACAGGTATTTGATAGAAAAGTTGTGATGGATGTGTCTTTGGAGTATGAGATTTTGTTGTGATAAGATTGGTGTCTAAACAGGTATTTGATAGAAAAGTTGTGATGGATGTGTCTTTGGAGTATGAGATTTTGTTGTGATAAGATTGGTGTCTAAACAGGTATTTGATAGACAAGTTGAGCTGGACGTGTCTTCCGGAGCGCTGTGATGACATAAGAATGAAGTGTCTTACCTATTTCACTGTTGTTGTCTGCGTGTTGTGAAGAGTTGGTGTTTGATTGACTAGTTGTGATGGGTGTGTCTCCGGAGCGTGAGGATTGGGTGTCATCTTGTTGGCTAAAATTCAAACATTGTGAGGGCGGCCTCTGCAAAACAAAAAAAGATCAGGAGTTAGTTATCAAACATTGTGAGGGCCGCCTCTGCAAAACAAAAAAAGATCAGGAGTTATCAAATTCCAAATTATTGATCAAATCCGGAACCGCGCCCGTCTAGAACCAGTAACATATATATATATATATAAAATCGACAAAACATCTTATGCAAGACTTCTTTTTTAAGGCAGGTAGCGCTGTTACATAGTTAGTCAAAAGAACAAATTATCGGATTTGTGAAAAAAATCTCAGGAATCACCCGAGAATCAAGCAACTCAGGATGGTGAATTTTTCTGTTAGGTAATCACAGGACATTACAGGACAGTGTAAGTAAGGACTAGAAAATGTGAAACAAAGAAACAGTATTTAATTCAAAGCTATGCCTGGAATACCATTAACTGCTGAACATTACAAGCGATCGTGATTGGTAAAGGAAAATGACAACTTTATCTCAAATTTGATATTAATGTTTAATCTGCCTTGCCTTTATTTACAATTAACTAGGTCACCATAAGCCGTCTGACTAAGAATAGAGGATTGTTTAGGGAAAGTGAGTAACCATCAACCTTGTACCATATCTGGTAGAAGAGAAGCTGCATGATGCAAGTATGCATGTTGGGCGCCGACAATTGGCCAATTGATCAAACACAAAAAACCTTATCCCTTTGCGTTGCTCATCAATAATTGAGTACACCTTCCCTATCAAATATATTCCACTCTCTTTACCTTGCAACACTATCATGCCCGAGGACAACCCCTGCACCAAATCTGTGTAGCCGGAACAATAAGCAGGCTCTAGATGCTGGGGCAAGCACATGGTCAACAGTTTGAAGCTTTTTATTTCAGGACACTGGTCAAGCTTTACGTGTCAGGACATTGGTCAAGCCTTATGTGCTGGGCCTAAGGTCAAGATTTACTGTTTATTGGTAGATACACCACAATAAAAGGCTATTATCAGTGAACTGGGCAGGTGACAATCTATTAACATTTATGTATATAAATTACCGTATATTTGTGTGAGTTCTTTTTTTTCGGCTGTGACCCATAAGAACGACCTACCTCACACCGACATCAAACGTTTCTCTGATCAACATTGAAAGTCTACCACATAACAGGACGCACACAGGATCAAGATGCTCAGATTTGATTAGGAGAAAAAATTTACATTTGCTGTCGTCAGGTGACACAGCGCTGATGTTTCCACACCTGAGCGAATTTTATTGCTCCACCTATATTGATAAAAGTGCACGGTTGTAATGATAACCTGCTCAGTCTCCCTCCCTGGAGTCAGGTAGAACTCCCTAGTATGTTCCACCCTACCAGGAGTGCATGGTCAGTGTAATTTTACTCTCAGTGACAAGATGGGTTTTTATATTGTTGACAGGAGAAATAAAGTTGAAACCTTCATCTGTGGGTGACGGTTTATTGTTCTGGTGTTACCATCACCCTCAATTCTATTCCATCAGATATAGCTCAGAATGTTGTACTTGTTGTAATGATGCGACGGAGAGCAGGTTGTATGTTAGCGAGATGATGTGGACGCACGTTATTCTGACATCAAAGCCGTCTCTACTACAACAGGTGTGAATTAACAGAGTACAAGCTGCCCCTCTCGTACGCCTGATCAGGTGTGGTCATCAGCGACCAGCCGGAAGCGATACCCTACTAAAACTGATACACATGTTGTCATAATTCCCGCTATCTCTCCACGTAAACTACCCCCAACCCATTAATTATTCAGACAAAAAGTGTAATTTGAAATCAATAATTGTCATTGTAAGATTTGTGCCAATTTATATCGAGAAAGGTAAGGAACCCAGAGTTTTACTGTGCCTCACACGCACCTGTGGTTGGTTGTATATATGTCCACGGTGTGTTGAGGACTTTGTGATACTCTATACAACTGTTTAAATGCCCTGTTTAGTGTACTATTTTAAAACTGATCCTGTCATTTCCTTACGAGATGTATATATGTACTCCAACTGTTGACAGTGATTAAAAAAGTCTATATATAGCCAGCTACGAGGCTGTCTGGACTTTTAACAGGACTCTACAATTACACGATATGTCAACATCACTACATACATAACATTGTGTCTAAAACTAAACAATCACAATCAAAGAATTTTAACTATTGAAATAATGACCTTGACCTAGTTCTATGACTGACCTTTCACAATACCATTTCCTGGTTTCTGGGTGACATTGGATACTGCTATTGAAGGAGATGTATTAATTCAAGATTCTTTTTAAAACTGATTTTATTTTTTCGTTAGATGGTGATTAAATCTATATTGGAATGGATTCAAAATGAAGGCTTGTTCCTTGCAATGCCTCAAAAGGTTTGGAAACGTCAAAATATGAATGAAAATAATAGAAATTAGAAATGATTGACAGCAACACTGTAAGTGCAAGGTGGAAGTGATGGATGATGGGGAGGCAGAAGGTTGTGGGGGGGACAGGACCTAAAGGGCAATGGGAGGGTGGCAGGGGTCCCAAGGGGATTTTGCAGTGGGGGTAACAGGATGGAAATAGGACTGTTGGTGGTAAGTTTTACAAGCGCAGAGTGGGCTATAGGATGGATAAGAGGACATGGCATGGAATGATGGGAGTTTAAGGGGGACACAGTGTTGATGATAATGGCGCCCATGTGTTGCCTCAGCATGGCTTATCCCTGACGTAACCATCAAAGTGGCCTGATACATGAGAAGACGTCCTGCTCTGTATTTGTCGTGACCTTTCTAACTACCCCTAATATAAAGGGGAACACAGAATGGATTGACTTGCATCTCTCTCACATTACAGCACCCTATAGCAACAGGCCTCTGTAAACGATGGCACACATATGCACTACAGTCCCCATCACAACAAGTAATTTCTCTCGTAAAATTATGTGTGAATTAGTCTGCTATAAATTATAGCATCCCTCCCTCCAAATCAAGTAACTGTGCCTTCAAAACCATCAAAGCACTTCTTCTACCTTTGTGTCAATTCATTTAGCACATTTGATGAAGCAAAGTATGTACAGGGATTTATATGTGGGACCTCCGCTTCTGACATTTACTAGAGTGTAGTATTGGTTTCGGCTGCTGGGATGTCTCCCTCCCCTCCTCAAACATCATTTACTACTGTGATACATAGCTCCCCATTTGTTTGATCCTAATTTACATGGCAAATTTCCTACAATAATACATCACATCTTATAACAGGAATGTTTCAAGATACAAATCTCCGTAGGAAAATGTATTTTTTTATTAAGATGTTTGCACCTTAGCGATTGCCATGACCTCTAAGAGCCTGCTAATTTTTATCGATGGTTTATCCATGTTTCGACAGTGATGAACCATCTTTGATTGCCCAAGGTAACACCACTATACACAAGTTGTTGAACACCTTCGTTTTGATACACATCTCGTATGGTTTACTACTATATACACCGCTGATGGAAGACTTCAGCCTAAACTGTATCCTGGTGTTCATAATTGTTTTAAAATCTTCTTCTTAATGTTATTAACTTGAAAAGATGTCTTCATGGTATCATGGGCTCATTTAAATTAAAGGCGAACAGCCTTAATAAGTAACTAACATAACACAGTTCTAGAGAGATCTTACTGAGAAGTATTTATATGTAACTGTAGGAATATCTTGTGTTTCTAGGCCTATGGAATTTTTATGTACTTTAAATTACTAGATATCAGTTACAATATTTTTGTTATTCAAGCTAGTCAGGGTTTGACCAGTTACAATGATAATTCAGTTGAATGTCCAGCTTAAAATTGTACGACTTTGATTTCTCTTCATCGTTTGAAAGATGCTCCATTCACAACTCTCAACACTGTCCCATGATTATAAGACACCATAAGTATCATACTTTCTAAACAATTTTTTATTCTAAATTTGAAATGGTACTTGCGAACAAGCAATGTGAAAATGGAGTTTTTTTCCTTATGAAAATATTTCCAACTAGCAACTTTCTATAGTCTTTGCTCATTTTAGTCAAATAAATCATATTTTGAAATAAATTAAAAAATTTCTTTCTTGATAAGCTTGTGTAACTATTTCAATGTATTCTGTACTAAATCTATAATTTCATTTTGCTTGTGAATTTTTTAACAAACTGTGAACATTTCAATCAATCAAACAAACAAAGCTCATTTTGCTAGACTTCAGAAGGGACATTGTCCCTCTACAGACTTCAGAAGGGACATTGTCCCTCTACAGACTTCAGAAGGGACATTGCCCCTCTACAGACTTCAGAAGGAACATTGCCCCTCTACAGACTTCAGAAGGAACATTGTCCCTCTACAGACTTCAGAAGGAACATTGCCCCTCTACAGACTTCAGAAGGGACATTGTCCCTCTACAGACTTCAGAAGGGACATTGTCCCTCTACAGACTTCAGAAGGGACATTGTCCCTCTACAGACTTCAGAAGGAACATTGCCCCTCTACAGACTTCAGAAGGGACATTGTCCCTCTACAGACTTCAGAAGGAACATTGCCCCTCTACAGACTTCAGAAGGAACATTGCCCCTCTACAGACTTCAGAAGGGACATTGTCCCTCTACAGACTTCAGAAGGGACATTGTCCCTCTACAGACTTTAGAAGGGACATTGTCCCTCTACATTGTCCCTCTACAGACTTCAGAAGGGACATTGCCCCTCTACAGACTTCAGAAGGAACATTGCCCCTCTACAGACTTCAGAAGGAACATTGCCCCTCTACAGACTTCAGAAGGGACATTGCCCCTCTACAGACTTCAGAAGGGACATTGTCCCTCTACAGACTTCAGAAGGGACATTGCCCCTCTACAGACTTCAGAAGGGACATTGCCCCTCTACAGACTTCAGAAGGGACATTGCCCCTCTACAGACTTCAGAAGGGACATTGTCCCTCTACAGACTTCAGAAGGGACATTGTCCCTCTACAGACTTCAGAAGGAACATTGTCCCTCTACAGACTTCAGAAGGAACATTGTCCCTCTACAGACTTCA